CAAACTGCTGTACCATTGTGAGTAAATGACCATTGAAAAGGTCGTACAAGCCGATCGGACTGGGCGTTCCAATACACACCGTCTTACGCATTTTATTTTCGTTATTGCCTAAAGGCTGCTTGACGTTTTTGGCTTTCAAGCATTTAAGACATTTTTTGTCGTCTCAGGTCAAATAAGATTACCTCCAACTCGTGGGAATATGCACTTCAAGCCAACTAACACACCACACCCACGTGTGTCATAATGCTGAGAGATGGCGTTCACTCGGCTTGCTCCTAACTTACGATAATTCTCTCGCTAGATGGCAGGCCTGATCCCAATGTCGCGGATCCCAATGCTAATTTCCACGAGACACCAATCCAGTGTTATATCATCCATGCTTAAAGCATTACAGTCTGAGCGGGCCGAAAGCATATACCAGTTTTCCGAACGCTCGTGCCAATACTAAAGAGATACTCCACCATATGGTAAACGCAATTTAGACGATAATCATTCAGGACTAGCCAAATATGTTATAGAAACGGGCCACTGTGTCGCTTGGGGAACTGTGAAAGTATTAGCTTATGAGTCTGACTGGAATAAACGAAAAATCAAGGAGGGTATTTTCATCGACAAGGCGAGAGGAAATGTGCTGAATGTGAAACATGGGCCTCGTTTCATAAAAAGGAATTACTTACGGCGTTCCGTCAATTATGCCAGATTTGGCGTATTTGATGCCAATTCGGTTTCATAAAGCCGGAGACCGGAGTAATTCACGCCATTGAAATTACGGAGCTTCATTTACGGCAAATGCTCGATTCCGGACCAATTGATGCCGTTTGGGTGTCATAAAACGACGTAATTAACGCCAAATATTTCATCAAGTTCTTGATATCAGTGGTGTAAACTACGCACAAAAATGTTGCGTGAATTTGAATTAATGTGAAGATTCAAAGCTAATTTTTAATATATTTTATGATGTTGAGCCCGGTGAGGAAGAAAGAACAGCCAAAATGAGACAAAGATACTGCAAATCTTCTGTACCAGTCGCATTTTGTGGCCACTATCCAGGGTATATTGAATTAGGGGGTAGGACCAAGTTTAGTAGGCATGATCTCAGCAATTATCTTGTTTTATATGGCGGTTATCATTATCACAATATAATTTTTGATGTCATGAAGTTTGTATATCTTGGCTTTACGAAAAATAGTAGGACAACAAAGATAAATTTCGCGAAAAAAATAATTTTAGTTGGAAACATCCATTCTGGTATGCAAAATTCAGTATGAAGCCAGTATGGTGACCGTCTAGTGTGCCACCAAGGCTGAGTACCTGATATCAACAGGAGTTGTTTACTATTTTGCCTTACGTTGCTAGGTGGTTGCTAGGGAGCTAAGGATACTCTCTTGCGCGATCATTTGCACTTATTTTTCCTCATTATATCGACATGTTGTTGTTTCTGAGACTTAGATCATGCTAAGAAAAAAACAGTTTTCTTAAAATGTGTATTTAAGTGCCGTAGGACTAACACAGCTCTGCAATTCTGCTTAAATATCTGCAAAATCCTGACTTCCCGGAAAATTGTTGGTGGTGATGGGGATCGAGCCCGTCGATGAAAAGTAAAGCCAATATTCAAAGGCTTCAAAACATTATTTCTTGTTATTCTGTGAAATAGCAATGCAAAGACCGATGATAGTGCCAGTGTTGAGCTTTCCAATGAAGCATTGCAATTAGTAAGTAATGTTATTATCACCTAAGATATCTTCCATCAAATATTAGAATTCTGCCATTGTCTTGCTGTAGAACAGGGTTACTGTCAGTCTCTTGGGAACACGATTTGCCGGTCTCAGATCGAAAAACACTTCAAAAAACGGTAATAGACAATGGAATTTCCCACCTGATAGCATCTCGGGTTTGTATATATCCTGTCTAGAATTTTCATAAATCAGACGTAAAAATGGCCAATTTCGTCAGATTCCGAATTTTTGCCATTGGGTCTAATGTTAAGTATGGCTACTTTCAGTCTCTTGGGAACACGATTTCCGTAGGAGAGAGTGGGGCAAAGCGGCCACCCTAACGCTTCTCACGATGCCAACGTTTGATTTTTAAACTTGGAAAGATTCTTTCTATACCAATGTGATCCCTATTAAGTTGCCTTTTATTTCAGCTGCGTTTTATTTCCAAAGGCGTTCACGTATGGAAGATATTGACAAAACTTTAAACCTATGCAATTGCATATTGGCCACTTTGCCCCATACACTGGGGCAAAGCGGCCACCGGCGTCTTCTCAAGTCCCGATATGGGAAACAACATAGTTGCCTCATGTACGACTAGGGTATTTGATGGTGACAAGGTTTAAGCGAGGATGGATGTTTACTTTATCATCTTCCACCTGTAGGTAAACAAAGAAATGATTTCATTAAAAAAAAAACATTTATTTGCATTATTTGGTAACTCATGCAACTGAAAAGTGGCCAAGATGAATGCATGACGACACATTTGAATATAAATAATGTTTTTTATCCAGATGGAAGCAACTTATGGCCAATAGGGGGTGGCCACTTTGCCCCGGCCAGTTTGCCCCGCGCATACCGTCCGAGACAAAAATATTCCAGCTTAGCTTTTAGTGGGGTAAAAAACATTAAAATTGGTAGAATGCATGTACGATAACCATGCAATGCATGGACAAGAACGCTCATAAAAAAATTCCAAACGGTTATGGAATAACATAACATTTGAAAATTGTAAACATAGTTGGTAACCTGGCAAGAAATGCTTTTCCGTGTTTCACAGAACAATGGTGATGGTCCTGAAACCCCGGTCTGGCTCATTCGAACGACCGTGAAGAGAAGTATAATTGGAAACCATAAATTGGAACTGACGCCAGCTACGAAGGGCTAAAACGATGGGTGGCCGCTTTGCCCCGGGTGGCCGCTTTGCCCCACTCTCCCCTACCTCAGATTGAAAAACACTTCAAAAGTCGCAGTTAGTAGACGATTTAATCTGCAAGATAGCATCTCGCTTTTTTCTGTATCTGGTCATGTATCTTCATAAAACCCTCTCAAATATAGTCAATTTAACATTAAAGTCTATGGATTTAGAAGAATTTTCATATCCGACTAGATTTGGGCTACCATGTCTGTTGACCGGGGGCCGGCCACTATCGGAATTTTGTTTATTCGCCGCGCCGCGCCACTTTCGTAGTGAGGCACTTCCGCTTAGCTGGCTTTCTGCTGTTTTCAATATATTGATCTAATAAAGGATGGTCATCAATATCAATTTTGTTTTTTCATATTTTTTTTTAAGATTTAAATTCAACATAATTGTTTTATAATTTCTCGTAAAAAATAAGTGTTGACATGAAATTGTAATTTGTAGGACGCTCGATGAATTACGGCAACTACGCAAATGTGCTTAGTTACGGAGATGTTAACAATTCCAGTTGTGGCTTTGTGAAACGGCTTCATTTGCGCTCCGTAGTTTGAAAGGGTGTGAATTACGGAAAGGTGTAAGTTACGGCAGAGCTTTATGAAACGAGGCCATGGTGTTGTGGCGAGTTCTTACTTCCTTTTATTAGAGGTCTTTGTTCTTATTTTATCACGCCTTATTTGATTCATGTTTATTTTCTTGTCATTGTTGCTGCGCGCGTGAAAAACAATATTTCTTTTTAGCTCAGAAAACCGAGTCAACGTCGATGCTAGAAATTGTTTTTAGTTCAGAGTGTGCGGCCTACTTTCAAACTGTCATGTTCTTTATTTTCGTCTCAATATAATTTTAGCATATTTTATCTACTTGTCTCGGCCGCCACATTGGTGACCCCGACGTGATATGAATTTAACTTTTAAACAGTAAATTATTGCTCTTCAAGATTGTATATACCTACACATTCAAAGAAGACTTTAAAAGAAGAACGAGGAAGAAACATATCAAGTAATCGAAAACGAAACGAGATGCATCTACTACGTTACTCACACAAGAAAGACAACCGACCAGACGATCACCTGAATATTCGCCGGTGGTTTCGGGCCGCGCCGCCTCCCTCCGCACCGGCCGAGCCCAGCGCACCAACTTCAACTTCGCCTTTCCGAGCGGCTCACCGACTTGTGGCCGTAACCAAGGTGGATCCAGGCCGCGCTGAGCCTCGCCGCCTGCTCCACTGCGGTGCTTCTTTATCTTACCTACCTACCTACATACCCAAGCGTTCGTCAACGACATGCACCCATACGTCGCCGCGAACGCAGAACGCAAGTCAGCGAGTCGCAAGCCGCCGTCGCCGGAGTTTCCGGGATGCGCCGTTTCATCGCCGCTCCCGTCCGACGCGGCACGCGCTGGGTCGCCACCATGAGCCGGTCTACGCCTATTCTGTCTGAGAACTTGTGATCGATATTTTTTTAGCAAGATATATATTTACTAAACCTACGTTCTACTACTAGATGTGTATCGAGTGCTCGGCTAGGCGACTAAATGATAGTTCAATGTTCATGGGGTTTATTTTTGTTTATTGTGATTATTCATGTACGCGAATTCGTCAACGAAGTGGAACGCTACGATATACGATCCGATGTTTTCTCGAAGATCTGCGCCGCTTTAAGGTTTATTTGTCGTTTTTGAATTTTAATTTTTTTCTTACGTGTTTATCTGTCTTTTTAAGAATTCTATCCAAGGCTGACGAAGGAAGCTGTAACGCTTCCGAAAGCTACCAATAAAAATTTAAAGCTGGTGTTTGAACAATCTTCTACCAAATGAATCTGTCCCAGCTCAACAACATATATAATCACATATACCTATATGCTTTTCACCAATGCGCCCCCTCTGGTGACCCCCCCCCCCCCTGTGGCATGTGGACCGAGCCAATACAGTCAGTTAAGAGCGGACAGAGCAGTCTGTGCTGGGAACACTACTCACTTAGGGCCGGACAGAATTTCATTTTCCATTCTCCCATGTGCAGATGTGTTCTCAGTGCGCTTTGAAAGCCGTTCTCTAGCGGTGCTTCCACCGTTCATCGCCCTGCTCTGTTTCAGGCCGTACCTGGAGGCCGGCAAACGAGAGCTACTGGCCGACTACGCGCTACCTGTGGCCGTCCTGGTTATGACCTTTGTCGGGTCATACCTGTTCCGAGACGTGAAACGTGAGTCAGTCGTCGCACACACACACACACACACACGCACACACCCACACACGCACACGCACACGCACACGCACGCGTATCTGCCAAAATCTCAAGGAGACTCCCGCCCAGAAAGTAAAACTGGTGGACGCAGGCTGGCACGGTCCGCCGACATCAAAACAACGGTGCGTCAGCTGATTATTGGTCCTCCGATTCAGGAGAAATTATTAACGCGGGAACGCCGGCGCTAAATAAAGGCGGTAGGATTCACGGCTTTGCATGATCGTGTGCAATATTTTTTATAGTATCAAGCGAGGGGTATTGCTGGAGTTTTGCAAATAAATATTTTGTTTTCAGTTTAACTATGCGATCGTGAACACTTTATTTTCATAGATACGATATGAAATAGGATAAACAGGCCAACCCAAGGCTATGTAGGCCAACCTTAGACTTCGCATAGCCATGGACATTGCGTAGGAAGGTACTCGCCGATCGTACCACGATACCACGGGCAAAATATCAGACTTTTGGGAGTTTTGTGTCGCTGAAATGTATTTTAAGTGCTAAGAAGGAAAGTAATTCAATTTAATGATGTCATGTACAATGGACATTTAGCCATTCCAAGCAGGTAGTTTGCCTGGCTTCGACAACCAGATAGCCAGGTTTATTTCAAGAGCTTCTAAAGAGGTAGTGGATTTAATATCGTTTCTATTACATTTATTTGATAATCCTACATATCAGTAAACCTGCCACGTTATCATTCTCGTCGAGCGATTACCGGCACATCGTACCAATTGGTACGATGTGCCGGTAATCGCTCGCCGAGGATGCCAATGCAGCGTCGAGCGTCCGATGGTTTACGGTAGGAATTATAACAATAGTTTTAAACTAGCGCTTTTTAGAACCATGGTCCGAAATGGTAATTCAAAGCAGGGCTGCGGAGTCGGAGTCGGAGTTGGAGTCGGTCGGAGTCGACAGTTGTGACCGGAGTCGGAGTCGGAGTCGATTTTAGAAACCCGAGCCGGAGTCGGAGTCGGAGTCACCGAAAATCTGTCGACTCCGCAGCCCTGCTAGGTCTGCGGAGTCGGAGTCGGGAGTTGGAGTCGGTCGGAGTCGACAATTCTGCCCGGAGTCGGGAGTCGGAGCTGGTTTTTGAAAGCCGGAGTCGGAGTCGGAGTCGCCGAAAATCCATCGACTCCGCAGCCCTGATTCAAAGAACCTCTTCCCCTTTCAACTCACCTGAAAAAGCTGCTTTCGTGTACCACCCAGCACCCGTTTCGTAGATATATCAAAATGATAACCGGAGGCGAAGATTATCTTTATGATACCACGATTTGTGGGGCTGACTAGTACCGACGGGGATCCCACAAACACGACGGTCACATTCATTAAACATGATGTACGGCGTAAAGCACCACAACTCACCCCAAAAGCGCAACCTTCTGAGATATCTTATATTTAGTTTCAATGCTGGTACTGGTGCAGTTTCAATGCTGGTACTCTGCTCATTTCTGCTCGATAAAGTTATTTCTCGCTTAAATGCGCCTCACATTAATCGTGTGCTGTGCTCCACAATCAATGCGCCGCGCGCTCTTCCTTCTTATCGGCCCCCTTGAGATCGTATCCATCAATATCTATTTGCTTCTAAGTTCTAATGACTTGTAGAGAAACAATTTTAGAGCGTTTAACAAACTAATTGCATAACCTATGAGCGATGGGAAAAGCCCAATCGTCCAACTCATAAAAAACATTGGGACACAAACAACTGGAAACTGATGGTAGTTGGTACTTTCACGCATAGGCGGCGGAACGGGGAGGCACCGTGCCCCCCTTTGATTTTGGCATTTTAACATGGGCTCTATGGGCGTTACATGAAAAGAATGGGACCAAAAGTCGGCAGTGCCCCCCCCCCCCCTTCCCCAGTTGAGCTGGGCGCAGGTACTAAATAGCATCAAAGGAAATCCTATATTCATCTCGCCGCATTTAAGCGCACCAATCGAAAGACGACAGCGTGACCGCGCTGACAGGCTATCAACCTGGCCACATAAAACTAGCTAGTGCAAGGAAGATGTCTATATAAACCACTGGACCATGCAAAGCGTTCATGTAAATAAAATATGAGTAAAGATGACCCGTTTGAGGGCAGACTGGCCAAACAGTGACGTTACACGCGGATCTCAACACTGCACAACCCATTCATCAAAAAAGATCTCGTGGATCCCTATATACGTCATAACTAGCCCTAGTACGGGGGTATATAGCCATGGACGTAAATGGCCGGCTTAAGGCACAGGATCCCAATTGTCATCCCCATTACGTGGTCCCCAGAAGTCGCCAGACCGAGAGCCAATGGCAGTTAAGCACATCTTACACGTGCCGACAAACGTGACACAATGAATCCAATAATGAGCCCGCCAATAAGCATGCCTAATTCTGCATGTAGGCTGCTATTTACCACCACGGCGGAAGGCTAAAACGCATCCATACAGCTCAACATAGGTGTCAATTTCCGCCGGGTTGGGGGTGCTCAAGCTCTTTAAATTCCCCGCCGGCTCGGCTGGCTTGGCTTTGGAGCCCCAACAGACGGTGCGGGTCAAGGTCACCGCTGAGGCGGCGGCGGATTTGCTGCGCCCGGGCAGTGGGCACCCTCAATTCGGTGAAAATCGACACCCATGCAGCTCAACATGACAAAACGCTGCATACAAGCGCACGTCCTCGCATTTAATTGACGCATTTAACTGCGTCACTAACCTCGTACACTGTACAACACTGGTGAGATGACTGTCCGAAGGAAACTGCCGACTTTGGCTGGCAACATTCAGGGTTGGTGACTTATGTACTGAGTTCGGCTGGCTGACAGCGATGTGACTTCAGGACCGGTTGATGAACGGGCCATCCTAGCCCCATACTACAGGAGCCCAGCTGGTCTTGGCGAGCGGCGGCGACTGGACGAGGCTGGACCCCTACTACAGGAGCCCAGCTGGTGCTGACGAGCGGCGGTTACTGGACGAACGGGTCAGCCTGGACCCCTATTGCAGGAGTCCGGCTGGTCTTGGCGAGCGGTGACGACTGGACGAGGCTGGACTCCTACTGCAGGAGTCGAGCTGGTCCTGTCGAGGAAATAGTTCACCTTTAACATGGGATTTTAAACTGAGATAGCAGTCTGATAGAGCAGATTTGTGTATGCCCTATATTTGAACCGTTTGAGATATTCACCTTTTATCAGTGAATATTGGTGCTTAAATTCATGCTCTAGTGCTCATTTACAGCAAGCAGAAACCTCTTCAACACACACAGTGGCCAATCAGCGATGAGAGCACTTACAGGAGCAGAATCCCTTGCAGCTGATAGGTTGTTCAGCTGTTAGTGTTCATAACTCTAATCATTAAAATAATGAAATCCCTTTAGAAGAAGTGTGTAATTCCAAGTTAGAATACATTTAAATTTTATTCATCACATTTTTAACACATCTTTTTGAATTTTATTAATCAAATTACTCACAGAAGGTGAACTATTTCTTTTAACACTTACCTTGCTTCAATGGTGACATGTAGCTCTTGCAGCAGAGAAGGCACAGCATTTGGCTGAAACTTCAAATATTGACTTGTTGCTATCAATTATTCAGTTTTGAAATGCATACAGGTACAGTGAATCTTGGGTTCTCCTGTAAGAATGCAGACCGCAGAAGCAGAAGTTCATCCAAAGCTTGCGCCTGAAAAAGGGCCAGGTTTAATATATGAGTAAAATGAAGACTTTTCATTTTATCATTATACCATAATCACATTTTTACCTAATTTGTAAGAAATAGGTTAAGGTTAGCAGAAATAGGTAAGGTTTTGACTAGACCCCCTGGGTCACAACAGGAGATGACCCCCGTGATTGGTGGGACCACCAGGCACCAGCACTGGCACAGTCCATTCCGACCACCGCACACCTATCAGCCCGAGAGCACACTAAATTGCATGTTAAAGCTCCATTAATGCTTTTTTCAATTTTGGCCATCCATTTTGTTGGGTCCATCATGTCCATCACCAAGCCACATTTAAAATGCACTCCACCACCTGACCACACCAGGCCAAATCTGCACCGCGCTACACAAAATCCGCACTGCACCAAGCTAAATCCACGCCACACCAAAGCCTCACCAGCCGGACAAGCCAGCACAGACGAGATCTTGTCGAAATTGCCATGCTTTGCAGAGTGCATCCTGGCCTACCTGAACCTGACCTTACCCAACATATGAGCCTGACTGTCCTTAGCACTGGGAGCTCATTGAGACCAGGCCCCACAGGCCTAGTGGCCTCCTGAAACCTGATTTCCATATGGGGTGAGCTATTTAAGAATGGTGATCGGATATCGAACCCGAGACAAGACAGCAATGAGCAGTGGGGGTTCATGCAACCATAATCATGTTTCCTTACCACAAGTATCAAAGCAAAAACAAAAATAGCTACCTATCGAATTCAAATTTCACTGGAACCTCACCCGCATGGATCTTAAGTGAAAGGTACATCTTGATACATCTGCACGAAAGATAGGTACCTACATCTTGATCCACTCATCTCAATCTTGTTTATCCGCATCCAGGGCATGCAACACTTCTTGTCAAGGCCGTATATAGGATATCGCTTATGGTGTTTTTGGCACAACTTACTCGACTGCTGAGCTCAAATGCAAATTGCAATCACGGTCATAAAATACTGAATATTGAATCGCAATGTATATTCAGTCGATGCACCCCTCGTTCGATGTCTCTCAGACGACGAAGACTGTACGTCGTCCGGCCAATCCTGTTCTAGGTCAACGGGGGCTCGGCTTGGGCTCGGCTGCAATTATGGAATGTGATTGGCCGAACGGCATAGAATCTTTGTCGTCCGAAAGACATCGAACAAGAGTAATGTCGCTACTGCGCCATTGTTGCATCGAATTCGCCCCATAGAAGCACGTGTTAACTCTCCCATAGGGCCCTGGGTAAACTCTCTCCATAGGGTCCTGGGTAAACTCTCCCCTTGTCTATTTTC